TAGCAAATGGCTGCAATATAACAAAGAGTGAAAAATTTAAGGGGGTCTGAATACTTTCCGTACCCACTGTATATAAATACGCACACATGTATATATTAAGGATAAATATGTTAGATTTATATATAAAATATTTATATTTATATTAGTGCTGTCAAACGATTAATTGCGATTAATCGCATTATTTGGTCAGGACAGCAGGTATATGCATCCATATTTGAACAGTTTGATATTCCTTCTTCTGGTCTTTTCTTGTAGTGGTACCTGATTAAGCATCAAGCCTACAAAGTGAACTTGGCTGGGTCCCTGTTCTTTGCAGGTGTGCTGATCGGAAATGTCCTGTTTGGACCACTCTCTGATAAGATCGGCAGGAAGCCGGTTTTCCTCACTGGTAGGATGGAGCTGAACTGGTTTCTGTTCTTTGTAATAATCTATAATATACAGTTTCACATTATTACAGTGCTTGCAAGGCATCAAGCATTCTGCTTAGGGCTGTACTAAACCTAGAACCCTAATTCTGCATGTATGTGTATTTATATATACATAATAAATATACACAGTACACACACATACTATGTAAACAAAAACTTATATTTTGGATGCGATTAATTGTGATTAATTGTTTGACAGCACTAATTTTTATATAATATAAATTATATACAAGTATAAATAAATATGTATACATACAAATATTTAAAAAAAATATATGCATATATGTGTGCGTATCTATATGTACATAACTATACACAGGACACACACATAGTATATAAACAAACTTTTATTTTGAATGCGATTAATCGTTTTGCAGCCCTAATTGTGTTACATACATGGTTTCTAATATTATTTCCTTATTAAAAATTGTAAGTAAAACATTTTATCTGCAATGACAAAATAACAAACACAATATAGGGATTATTATTATTAATATTTAACTTGTAATCATTTTGTAATAATTCAATATTTTAATTAATACAAATAAAAAATTCTAGCAATATTATTATTGTTACTATTATTAAAAATGTATTGCATTACATGGTCTCTAATATTATTTCCTTATTAAAATGTAAGTATAAATGTATCTGCAATGACAAAATAACAAAAAATATAGGGACTCGTAATAATAATAATAAAATCTATTTAAACTATAAATTAAATTTCAAACCACAGCAGAGTACTCAACACATTTCACATCTTGAGTGGTATTCTGATTCTTTAGCTGTTATTGTACTTTGAGATTAAGATATTATGACAACCTTCATTGTGCCATGATACAGAATAGTTTCTCTGCTCATTTTTGATGTATCACCTTTGCTTCTATTGCTTATTATTTCTTTCTTTATCCCTGTCTCCAGTCTCTAGAGGATCTAGAGGAGCAGAGACGCAGAAAGAAGAAAGAGAGGATGGGTCTGGGCTCTCTGTCGAGGGTGTTTGGTCGAGGAAAGCAAAGAAAGTCTCTGGACCCCACTCTGTTTGATGGTACTAACACACCTGACTACTACATAGAGGAGGATGCTGACTGGTGACGCTGCTGAGAGCCCCCCTAACTCATTTGTGTGTGAGTGTGTGTGTGTGTGTGTCTCTATCGCTGCCATCTTTATGAGCACAAGCTGACTGTACAATGATTCCAAACTGTGCCGCAGTAGACCCAAACCTGCCCAGAGTTTGTGTGTGTGTGTGTTCATTTTATAACCACTTTAGCATCTCACTGGAAACTTAAAGGACTGCTGAATGTGTAAATAATAGTCATTGTGCACTCTGTGCTTGTAAGTGTTTCCAGATGCCTTTTATATCATTTAACGCTCATTGTCTCAGCTGTTTTTAAACCTGTGTTAAACATATTGATGGAGCTCTCCTGTCGGAAGCCAGCAGGACCCTCAGCATGTATGAAAACCAAAAAAAAGGACATTTGCTTTTTCACACTGTGATCCAAAAGATATCTATTCATCTATCTGCAGCATATTCTGGTATTTGGACATTTTATGTAGTCTGTGACTTTTAGTGAGCAGTGGCTGGTCCTGCCTTTCCCACAGTAGAGTTTATAACCATCGTTACACACACTAACTCTGACAACTGCCTTCACAACAACATTAACCAGGAGGCAAAAACTGATCTGAGAACAGTGTGGAAATACAAAACCCATATGGTTATAAAAAAAAAACCTAGGATATTTGTCATGGAAATGATTACTGTACCTTTAATAAAGCAGGGTATGACATAGAGCTCCACAGTAGTTTCCCATGTTGCTTTGCAAGTGGGGACTGGATACATTTACTTTACAGGGCCTTTCACCATTAAACTTTGTATTTATAGTCTATTATTTGTATTTTTCTGAAATCAATGCTAGCTATCATTCAGTGGCAGTTTCTTACCATTGTGTACATTTCAATATTGCACTGACATGAAATGAAGAATAAATGAGTTTTCAGAGCATGTAGTGTGTTCTTCATCAGCTGGAGATGAAGAGACTGCTCTCGTTTGGCTCAAGCTGGTGCTGAATAGCATGGAACTCTAAATGGCATGGCAATGAAAATGGTAATAAGTTATATAACTACAGACTATTTTGAAATAAAATCAGAAACACTGAACAGTGTGTGGCTGAGTTCTTCGCTCTTTGTAATTGTGTTTTGGCACTTTGCCTCCCTGAGCTTGTCTGTGGCTACTTCATCGACTGCCTGATTGCGTTTAGGTAGTACAGAGCATAATTAACTAACTCATTACTAAATATCTTTAACCACATGGGGCATTTATCTGTATGTGTGTGTGGTTGTTTAATCCATTTGTCCTTTTTATCTCCCTTTTAAATCTTTACGGGGCTCTCAAAGTCATTCTGGCGCAGGATGAATTCTGTGTACATTGTTTTTCTCTGCAGTGGCTCATTAGCTCTTGGTGATGTACAAACTCCACAATCCTGATAATGAAGCTCTATTAGAGAAGGAGGGGGAAATGGTTTAATATATGAATAGTTTGTGTAGATGAGATAAAAGCAGTATCTTAACAGGCAAAACCAGACAAGCTGTTCTTTTCCAACAACGTTTACTCTGTACAAGGTCTTAGCAGTAGCCATCTGTTTTGTCAGTTATTATTTTACAACCTCTGGACCCAAATACTTAAGATTGATTCTAAGAAGGGAGTGCTTTGTTTTTCGAAACAACCCTATTATTAACTAATTATGGGCGCTTGGGTTGATTGCAGTTTTTGAAGGCGGTTTAGTGCTGCCGTCTACTGGTGAAATTATTGGTTCGCGCACAGAAGACGCTTTAACAGACGCTTTAGTGGCTGCTGTTCAAAAACTATGATGTAAATGGGAAAAAAATGTTTGTTCCAAGACATTTATCTAACTTTTTATCTCTGAATTAATATATTTTGTGTTTATGGTACCGTATACATACTTGTCTTCACTAGTTGAGAAAACACGGTGGTTATGCTCGTAAATTATAGAAAACAAACTCGCATCAAGTCCCGCCCCTCTCCCGTCATCCACCAATCTAGACTCCGACAGTTTATCAAGCCCCGCCCGCCTCAGTGTGAGCCTATCAGAATGCGAGGAGCATCTGGATCGGCTTCAGCAGGTGGAGCTCGCGCGGATGGCCCCCATGTCCCGTTGGCGTGCAGGAACCGTGCAGGCGTGGCTGGAGGTGATCATGGCCATGCCCATGTACATACGGGCCTGTGCAGACAACGTTAAAAGTGGGAAGGTAGACGTGACCTTGTCAGTATGATGCATGAACACTTGTTTACACCAGTCTATAAAATTATACCCTAAAATGCACATATCCTAACAGGCCTGAATGCTTTGGGCTATTTAAACAAGCAGTGTTTGTGAATGTTAGAATTAAACATTCATTTCTGTGTGTGTGTTTTGTTAGGTCTTGTTAGTTCTTACGAATGAGGACCTGGAGTTTGTTTTAGGTATCAGTAATTCAATGCACCGCAGGAAACTCCGTCTGGCCATTGAAGACTACAGGGATGTGGAATCAGGACATGGGTAGGAAACATATCTTAACACTTAAAAAATAAAAAAAAATAAAAATAATCTGCCCCTGCTTATATATATATATATAAAAAAAACGGAACAGTGATGTCTTCGAGGGGACCCCTGCAGATTAAAAAAATCTGTCATCATTTGCTTGCTCTCAGATATATTCAGAACACAAGATATTTTAATGAAACCTAAGAGGTTTCTGTCCCTCCATTAAAAGTCCAGGTAACCAAAGTGTAGAAGATGCAAAAAGGTCAAAATGCATTATAAAATCAATCCATATCAAAAGCAATCACATCTCATCTCACTCGGCTTGATTTAAACCATTTGATACATATGATATGTATCAAATGGTTTAAATCAAGCCGTGGGAGATGAAATATGATTGCTTTTTATGATGAACAGATTTGAAGGTGAGTAAATGATGACAGAAACTTTGATTTTTGAGTGAACAATCCCTTTAAGCTCAAGTGGTGTGAAAACGTCATTCTATTTATGTTATTAATAGCATCCCAATGTTATTTTATTAATAATCCTTAAAAATGTATTTAACATCTTTTTTTTTTTAATATTTAAAAAAATATTCCAGGTTCAAGTTAAGTTCAGTCTGCAACATTTGTGGCATAATGTTGATTACCACACACACACACACACACACACACAAAATAATAATAATGTTGGCTCATCGCTTGTTTCTTTATTAGAGTAAATAACAACTTCTCTTAGTAAAACGGTATACAAAACTAGCTTGAATACAAATAGTGCATTTCTAAGAATTTATATCTAGATTTATCAAATATTTTTCCGTTTCTTTTCTTATGTTGTTTCAGCCTTTCTAAAGCAGCTGATCTGGATCACCACTGGGTGGCTCAGGCCTGGCTGACTGATGTAGGTCTCCCTCAATATTCCCAGTTCTTCCACACTCACCTTGTGGACGGACGTCTCCTAAGTACACTCACACGCACCGACCTTGAGAAGCATCTGCACGTGTCTAAAAAAGCCCACCAGATCAGCCTGCTGCTGGGAATACAGCTGCTACACACACTCAACTTTGACAAAGAGGTAACACACACACATAAACCAGAAGAACAGCATGATGGGAATTCCCACAGGCATTAAACCTTACCAAAAAGGAACAGCAACCATCACAAACATACACACACATCAGAATAGCCCAGTTTGGAAAACATACCCTGTTTGTCTGTATAGTAAGTAAATTAAGCTAAACAACAATTACCCAAATACTGTTTTGCTGCAGATTTTGCAGTCTAGGCGATCAGAGTGTGAGAATCAGAACACAGACCCTGTAGTGTGGACCTGTCATCGCATCATCAAATGGATCAAAGAGATTGATCTGAAGGTACCACTGAGAGAGAACAGCAGTGCTAACAGAGAAAGTTATCTCCCTTTTAAATCTTTACGGGGCTCTCAAAGTCATTCTGGCGCAGGATGAATTCTGTGTACATTGTTTTTCTCTGCAGTGGCTCATTAGCTCCTGGTGATGTGCAAACCCCACAGTCCTGATAATGACACTATTAGAGAAGGAGGAAAAAAAGGTTTCACATATTAATATCTTATGAATATCTGGCAAAACCAGACCAGACTGTTTGTCTTTTCCATCAACATTTACTCTTTACAAGCACTTAGCAGTAGCTATCTGTTTTGTCAGTCATTAATTTACAACCTCTGGACCCATACACTTAAGATTGATTCTAAGTAAGCATTGCTTTGCTTTTCGAAACAACACTTGATCGCAGTTTTTGAATGCGGTTTAGTGCTGCCGTCTACTGGTGAAATTATTGGTTCGCGCACAGAAGACGCTTTAACAGACGCTTTAGTGGCTGCTGTTCAAAAACTATGATGTAAATGGGAAAAAAATGTTTGTTCCAAGACATTTATCTAACTTTTTATCTCTGAATTAATATATTTTGTGTTTATGGTACCGTATACATACTTGTCTTCACTAGTTGAGAAAACACGGTGGTTATGCTCGTAAATTATAGAAAACAAACTCGCATCAAGTCCCGCCCCTCTCCCGTCATCCACCAATCTAGACTCCGACAGTTTATCAAGCCCCGCCCGCCTCAGTGTGAGCCTATCAGAATGCGAGGAGCATCTGGATCGGCTTCAGCAGGTGGAGCTCGCGCGGATGGCCCCCATGTCCCGTTGGCGTGCAGGAACCGTGCAGGCGTGGCTGGAGGTGATCATGGCCATGCCGATGTACATACGGGCCTGTGCAGACAACGTTAAAAGTGGGAAGGTAGACGTGACCTTGTTTTTATGATACATGAACACTTGTCTACACCTGTCTATAAAATTATACCCCAAAATACAAAGCTGATCCTATCAGCTCTGAATGCTTTGGGCTATTTAAACAAGCAGTGTTTGTGAATGTTAGAATTACACATTAATCTGTGTGTGTTTTTTTTAGGTCTTGTTAGTTCTTAGGGATGAGGACCTGGAGTTTGTTTTAGGTATCAGTAATTCAATGCACCGCAGGAAACTCCGTCTGGCCATTGAAGACTACAGGGATGTGGAATCAGGACATGGGTAGGAAACATATCTTAACACTTAAAAAATAAAAAAAAATAAAAATAATCTGCCCCTGCTTATATATATATATATAAAAAAAACGGAACAGTGATGTCTTCGAGGGGACCCCTGCAGATTAAAAAAATCTGTCATCATTTGCTTGCTCTCAGATATATTCAGAACACAAGATATTTTAATGAAACCTAAGAGGTTTCTGTCCCTCCATTAAAAGTCCAGGTAACCAAAGTGTAGAAGATGCAAAAAGGTCAAAATGCATTATAAAATCAATCCATATCAAAAGCAATCACATCTCATCTCACTCGGCTTGATTTAAACCATTTGATACATATGATATGTATCAAATGGTTTAAATCAAGCCGTGGGAGATGAAATATGATTGCTTTTTATGATGAACAGATTTGAAGGTGAGTAAATGATGACAGAAACTTTGATTTTTGAGTGAACAATCCCTTTAAGCTCAAGTGGTGTGAAAACGTCATTCTATTTATGTTATTAATAGCATCCCAATGTTATTTTATTAATAATCCTTAAAAATGTATTTAACATCTTTTTTTTTTTAATATTTAAAAAAATATTCCAGGTTCAAGTTAAGTTCAGTCTGCAACATTTGTGGCATAATGTTGATTACCACACACACACACACACACACACACAAAATAATAATAATGTTGGCTCATCGCTTGTTTCTTTATTAGAGTAAATAACAACTTCTCTTAGTAAAACGGTATACAAAACTAGCTTGAATACAAATAGTGCATTTCTAAGAATTTATATCTAGATTTATCAAATATTTTTCCGTTTCTTTTCTTATGTTGTTTCAGCCTTTCTAAAGCAGCTGATCTGGATCACCACTGGGTGGCTCAGGCCTGGCTGACTGATGTGGGACTCCCTCAATATTCCCAGTTCTTCCACACTCACCTTGTCGATGGACGTCTTCTAAGTACACTCACACACACTGACCTTGAGAAGCATCTGCACGTGTCTAAAAAAGCCCACCAGATCAGCCTGCTGCTGGGAATACAGCTGCTACACACACTCAACTTTGACAAAGAGGTAACACACACACATAAACCAGAAGAACAGCATGATGGGAATTCCCACAGGCATTAAACCTTACCAAAAAGGAACAGCAACCATCACAAACATACACACACATCAGAATAGCCCAGTTTGGAAAACATACCCTGTTTGTCTGTATAGTAAGTAAATTAAGCTAAACAACAATTACCCAAATACTGTTTTGCTGCAGATTTTGCAGTCTAGGCGATCAGAGTGTGAGAATCAGAACACAGACCCTGTAGTGTGGACCTGTCATCGCATCATCAAATGGATCAAAGAGATTGATCTGAAGGTACCACTGAGAGAGAACAGCAGTGCTAACAGAGAAAGTCTAGGTGTTGGTATATGGAAAAACTCAAAAGAAAGACATATCTTTTCATTTAGGAGTTTGCTGACAATCTTCAGAGCAGTGGGGTTCACGGTGCCATCATGGTGATGGATCCCTCCTTCAGCTCTGACACCATGGCAGCGGCTTTATGTATTCCAAGCAACAAGCACATGGTCCGTCATCACCTGAATGAAGAGGTGAAGGCACTTGTCAGTGCAGCCAGGTAAGATTGTCTGTTAGTATTGCCGTACTGTATGTGTCCGTGTCTAACTCTACAAATGTATTATGTCTCAATGAATCAATGTCTCTTTGAATATAATGTCGTACAAGTTCAAGAGACAGTCGAGTCATGCAGATTTCTCTGATGTCTGTGTCTGCAGGGCAGGGCTTGATCAGGAAGTCGAACCTTTGGGGACTCCGCCCACACTTCACCGGCAAAGTTCTCTAAGCAGCTCATCACCCAGCTTATCATGACGATCAGCAGTCTTTAAGGAGGGTGAAGGTAGAACACTAAAGCTGAATCATAAATTCTTAAAACTCATACAAATGCCACATTTAGACATGTGCCAGTATTCGGTAATACAATATACCATGATTATGAACATGCACAATATTGTTGTCGTGGGCACTTTAAAATACAGCGAACTATTTATTACAAATTACATTAAAATTAAGGCAGATACTTTGATGTACACTCTGATATAAACAAGCCCAACATGGATGAGAAGCGCAGGGCGAAACAAGCGTATGCGCTGAAAATGCACATCCACTCTGGAACAGCAGAAATGCAGGCATTACCTCGGAAACCCCGTAAACAAAGCAGCTGCACTACTTTCTGTTTCTGAACAGGATTTAAAAGTGCAATAGGTGATTGTCTTCAGAAACATTTTTGTTATTCTGGCTGAAAGTCTCTTCACTTCCTGATAGCAATCATTAAGTTAAGTGGTCTAAATGTATTTATATGTATTTATATATTCTGTGGAAGGCGCAGGACCAAGAAATGTTCGTCCAATCAAAATGTTCGGTCCGAACATTATGAGAGGCTTTCCTACCTGCCTGTCAGCATATGTATTTGCATACCTCTGCGCACCCTGTTTGTTCTTCAGAATATTGTCTTTTGTGTTCTGTGTGTTCCATAGTTTGAAAGGACACAAGGTAAATGATGGCAGATTTTTTATTTTTGGGTGAACAATTACTTTAAATGTAGTTAGTTAGCACTTTATCCTTTGCATAAATCTCTTTGCACAAGCAGTGTTTGCTCTCTTTTCAAGGTTTTTGCTCTTTAGTTCCTTCAAGTGTAGTTCTCAGTAACAATGCATCCTCAGAGAGAGAAGATTTGCATTATTGCTTGAATAATTCAAATGTTAAATGTTTGTAGCTCCAGTGAATTAGAAATCTGACGGATCCATTTTCTTTTCTACAGCAGCAGCTTGGTCTCAGCCCAAAGAATTTCACTGGACGAAAGATCAGTCACCAGAACAGATCCGGGTCATTTCCAAGGAATGGACTTCAGGAGGTCTCGTTACAACGAGAGCGTTGCCCAGTTCGACATTTTTCTGCTGCTGAGCTCACCAATGTCTGAGTCATTCTCCTGTTGAGATCACTGATGAAAAACATGACACTTTCTTAAAGCTCCCAAATGGGGGATTTTCTTTTCTTTTTCAAGGTGAATGTTGATGAAATCTCAATGAAAGTTCACATTTTCAGTCTCTGGACTCTCAGTTTGCCAGTAGGGGTCTTGGCTTTGCTTTGTAGACCTTATGTTGTTGTTTGTGACTGTAGACTCATTTGTCTCAAAGTGAGACAATGTTAAGATTCCATTTGAAAGGGCACACACACTAAATATTTATTTATCTGTTCAGATGTTAAAGATTATTGTCATGTAAGGAATGTGTGAGGAAGCAGGGTGAAGCATCCTGACAATTATAACTATGATTTTTGAGAACTCCACAAAGAAAATTGTTTTAAAGTTGGATTTTTTTCCCCAATAAAATGAATATTTTCACATTTAATGTGTACATTTTAGAAAACAGACTCTGAGAACATTAGATTTAGTACCACAAAAATACTGTAAAATGTTGTGTTTGTTATACAGTACATCATTATTTAAATGATGATAAATTTCATGAATTTACCTAAATTAACTTTATATCCAATGGGTTTCACTTAGTTATGTGGTTAAAATTCTGATGTTACAGTAGGTGAATAGCAGGTCCATAACTACTCATGCACACACAATTTTGTAACATGAACCCAATTTCAAATTTGCCTCTACTCCTAATTGGTTCAAATGGTTCAAACCTGCTGCTTTTGTGTACCAACTGTAAATCACCAATCTCAACATCATGCAGACATAGCTATGCTACTAACTCCAAGGTCATGAACATTGCTAAGCTGTAGCAGGGGTTAGGCTAATCATCATAGTAAATGTGCAAAGATCAAAGATATGACTGTTGTACATTTATGTGGTTATTAACCGACTTTCTGAAGCAGCGTAAAAGGAGGTGCATATTTTTTTATAGATGAAGACAGGACAACATGTTCTCCATATAAAAATTGTCTTAAATTTTTGTTAAATCTTCTCTCTGGTAGCCTACTTCCCTATTTTATCCCAGGACATTAAGACAAGAAACCATTTTTAGGTGGTTGACATTTTTTAAAATAAATTATCAGCTAATTTTTCCCCCTTTGGCATTGTTGTGTTCTTGTTAAATATTTGTTCCTCATATTTCTAGTATCTGATAAACATCATACCTGAAATTCCCACAGTTTCCCACACAGGATTAATAAAGTACTTCATTATACTGAGAAAAATACGTAATACATGTCAGAGCACTCCTTGTTCCATTTACTGTAAAAGTTACATGACGTTTCTTAACGTAAAGTTATGAGGAAGCACCTTGCCTATATGGTCAACCTTTGTCCAACATTATTAACACTGCCAGAATCACAACTGCCCATAAAGTAGTTAAATATTGTTGAGCATTTGTTCCGCTCTAGGAATATATGTTTGGCTGAACCCTGTTTGACATATTTATGTGGGTGATGCTGGTGATTTGATGTGTGCACCACCCTGACCCTGTAGAATGGTGTGATAAATAATGCTAGTATCTTAAAGGGGTCATATGATGCGATTTCAATTTTTCCTTTCTCTTTGGAGTGTTACAAGCTCTTGGTGCAT